GCCTGGCTTTGGCAACGTGCCGCCGCCGCACGGCTTCCCCGCACCGAGCGGCACGCCTCCTGCGCCGCCGGGGTTCCAGCCGCCACCGGGGTTCCAGCCACCTGGCTTTCCCCGTAGGTGAGCCGACGAACGGCAGGTTGTGAGAAAAGAAAACGCAAAGGAACCCCCTCCCCCCCCCCAAAAAAAGTAACAAGTAATGCGGCGCTCCCTGTGCCAAGGGCGAATGATGCCATGGGCCATCGAACCAGGTGGCTCCCTTTGATGAGGAAGGGGGCCCATGGTCGCAGCGCTTGCCAGGAGTTGGACACAATGGTCTGTCTGTCCGCGCCTCTCGTCGGGGACTGAGCCGCCTCTAACAGAGAGTAGATACCCATGATTGGAGTTTGGCGCACGTGGGGCTGAAAAGGAGCAGCCATTGGGCCGTGACAGTCTTACACCTGCGACTTGACATGAGAATAGGGTCGGGGCAGATCGCCCAGGCCGAGGTATTCGAGTGGCAAGCCGCTTGGTCAGGTTTGTAAATCACAGTGTAAAATTCAGCTTGTCAAACGCGGGTCACTTGAAAGGAATTTATTCATGCATACAGTGCCGGATCCTTCAAATGTGAAGAAATTAGAAGGGTGTATTGTCCAGACCTCGCGCCAGAGGCTTTTGATGGTGGTGGTAGTGGTGACAGTATAATACATCGTACATGATACATTGAAAACCCCCCCTTCGTACAGCAGGCCTTTGCTTTTACATTCCCTTTTCGTGGGTATCCATCTCCGCCTCAGTCGTCCTCCTCCTTGCCATCGCTCTTCTTCTGATTTTCTAGCCAGTTGTCCTCGTGTCCAAACGCCTCCTGCCACGTAAGGGGCTCCTCCCTCTCGAACAGGTGCACGGGATTCTTCCGGCCGTGCGCGTCCTCCTTCTGTCGGAATCGGCGACCGCGTTGCGACATGTCCTGCAGCTTGCCCTGCCACATCTGCCGCCACTGATTGCTGCGGTCGTCGCTGTCCGACTTGAGGGCCTTCTTCCGCCGCGTCTGGATGGACTGGTAGATGCGCTTGGCCGACTGCGCGGGAATCTCCTCGATAGAGTACTCGAGGGTCCAGCGCAGGGGGCGAGAGCTGCGGTCCTTGGGTCGCTCGGGACGCGTGACGTATTTGTTGTCCACCTTGTTGCGGACCGTCAGGTGCATGCCGAGGATCTCGTCGCCGACGATGTCTTCTAGAGGCTCCTCTTTCGGATGCTCCTCCGTAGCAGGCGCAGTCTTGTCGGCGGCGGAGCCTTCGTTGGCGGCTTCGGCAGGGGTCTCGTTGGATTCGGGAGAAAGAGCCGGCGCGACATCCTCCGTCGTCTCACTGGACGACCTCTCGTGCTTGGTCTCAACCAGCTTAACCAGTAGCCGCTCAAACTCTCCCAGCTTGGAGATTTCCGAGGCCGCCTGTTCTGGTGTCAGGGTGGTCTCTTCCGTCTCGGGCCTGTTGTCAATGCGCTCCGCCACGCGGAGAATGAGCTCCTTCAAACTGAGGTCGGAAGAGCGAGTGGATGATTCGAGCGCTGAAGACGCTGAGTCCGCCTCCTCTACGGACGACCGTGGCTCCTCGGCGAACTCTAACCTTGCTTGACCGCCCTCAGTGACCGAGTCTTCGCCAGCGGAGACCTCAATCACGGTATCAGGAGAAGTAAGCTCACTTGAGATAACGGGAAACTCGTCCTCTGCCGACTTTGATGCGTCTGAGGCCTGACTGCCAGTCAGGGCGTCGAGCAGCGACTCGACATAGCTCTGCGCCTCCTCGGCAGACCGAGCCTTGAGCAGACCGCTCTGCTCAAGAGCCGACTGGATGGCCTCGCGAACGTGGTTGACGCCAAGAGCATCATTCTCCACAGCCTCTTCGACCTTGTCCTGCATCTCTTCCCAGAATTCAAGGGTTTGCTGCCTCGTCTCCTCAGGCGTGTCAGTCATTTCTTCCTCTTGCGCCGGCTGCGGTTCAATGTCCAGCTCGGTGGCTTCGGCCTCGTTCTCCTCCTGCTCGATGCCCATGAGCTTTCTCTCAAACTCAGCAACAGCTGCTTGGTTAGAGTTTTGCACTTGCGCCACCTCTTCGTCGGTGACAGGTCGAGCAAAGATGTAAGTAAAGGGTGGGTCTCCCGGTCGAGTCTCGACATGCAGACGAAGCGTCCGTCCAGGGAACTTCTTGGTCGCACGGTCGAGGACCTCATTCAGAAGGTGCAGACTGAGCTTGAATTCCTGGTCACCCAGGCTCCTGTCGTCCGTTCCGTGAAGAGCGGTATCCATCTCTTCCAGAGGAATGTACTGGAAGCCAAAGATGCGCTGCGTGTTGTGGAAGGCAACAAAGATGCCGTCCATGCGGCCCATGCGGACCTGGAGGGAGTACTTCAAGAAAGCAGCCCTGATCATGTCGTAATACTCGCGCTCAAACGACTCCCACTGTCCGAACCTTCGGCGAATCTCGTAGCCTTGACCCTTTTTAAACTGCGCAGCATCCATGCGAATCGACACAACAGCCCTCGTCTTGAGATCAAACATGCCTGTACCAGGGAGTCTCTTGTCGTAGGCATCAAGCTGCGATCGCATGAGGAAATCCCCTAGCGTGGAGAAATGGAATGCCTCCTCCGCGTTCCTCTCCTCTTCAGTGATCGAGTCCGAATATTTATGGCGGTATCGCTCAAACTCCTCCTTCGGTAGCGTCAACAGTTTTTCCATGGACTTGCCTAGCATGCTGAGGACGTTGGCCGTGTCATACTCCTTATCCGCATCGATGGAATAGACGCCATTGTTCAGTGTCAGGAAAATGGCCGCAGGCGCGCGTGATATCAAAGTGTAGCTGCTGAAGTCTGGCTCAAATCCCTGGCTTAGGTTTTCGGGGTTGATGGGACGCCATGCGGACAGCAGGAAGTGAAAGTGAGAGAGCATGGAGGTCATGCTCGACGTCGAACCACTGTACTTCTTGCCAAGCTTGGCCGCCAGGTCGTTCAGCGTGGTATCTTTTGACGATGTGACATACTTCTTCAACGCGCCAAAGTCGAATTCGGTAGTGGGCATGATTTTGGACAGATAGGGGTCAAAATTGTAAACGCGCGAGCGAGGGTCCTGTAGGTGGTATACGCCAGGATTGAACAACACGCGGTCGAGGCCGTAGGCCAGCTTGGGAACTTCAGGTCCGCCAGGCCGATCCACCGGAGTGAGTTCCAGCTTGCTGGCTTTGGCGACTTTGACATTCGGTGGAGATTTCTTCGCGATGACGTTCGGCTTCTTGGGCTTTCTCGCCGTCTTGACCTCAGGAGATTGGGAATCAATTGATGGGTCGACCGCCGGAACGCGGGCAAGGTATTTATCGTGCGCAGGCAGGCTGTCCAAAGGGCCCAGATCTTTTCGAAGCGGAGGTGATGGAGTGCTCGGGGCTTCCGGGGTAGGGATCGGAACTGTAGCGGCTACGGTGGCGGCGACGGCAGCGGCACCCGTCGGGATCTTCTTGATGAAGCTCTTGGCGGACAAGCTGTCAGAGGCACGCGACACATCGGCATCGGTTCTTGTCTCCGCTGCGTTTGCAGGCTTGGCTTTGTTTGCGTCCTTTGTCGGTTTATTCTGCTTGCGCGCCTCCTTGCTCAGCTCGCCAATGGATATTTGCTGGGACCCAAGGACGTTCCGCAGGACCTCAAGTGTTCCACTGAGGACACGCAGCTTAGATCCTAGCTTCTGAGCCGACTTGTGGACCGACTGGTTCATGCTTTTGTTTCCGTCAACGGTGGCTGGCTGGGAGGCATCGGCTGGGTTGGCGCCCGGGGCGGACCCCTCGTTGGGCTGCTGCTCAAACTGCTTGAGGCGGCGGCTGATGGTGCGGTAGCTCTGTTCAAGTCCCTGAAGAGAGGAGAAGACCTGCTGGATGATCTCAGGGCTTGTGCCCTCCGTCGCGACCGCTTCAGCATTCTTGGCCTTGGGCGTGTACTTGGGTCTCGTAGATTTGGATTTGTTGGTTGCATTTGCTGATGATGCCTTGGCCTGTGCCTTGCCTGAAGCTCGTTTGTTTCGCGCCGCTCTTCCTTTCGGCTGCGAGGGTTTGCTGTCGGATCTGGGGGCATCGTTCGGCGCGACAGGGATCGAGCTGGTCTTGTCGTGGTCAGACGGAGAGCTACTGCTGCCGTACTGGCGATGCGCGACGCCAGGTCGCTGGGCGCTCGTCTGCCATTGCAGTCGCTGATCCTGGGAATGGAAACGACAGGCAGAGCAAACGTAGGGCGTTCTGATCCTCCGAAGAGCCGCGCTATGCAATTTGAGCATGGCAGCGGTTGGAGGGGACAGCCTGGCGGTTTGGAGGGAAATGGCAATGTGCAGGGCAGATTCGGAATCAGCATCAGCACCTGCATCACAGCTTCCGTCGCTGATGGCCAAAAAAAACTTGGGTTCCCTCACGTCACGTCTGCGAAAGTGGACCATGCATGTTAGTCATCTTCACCCAGCTTCGTCAGGGGCAGGCATAGCCCAGCCCCTGAATGCCGTGAGACAGTCAACCTGGTGTGCTTTACCGGGCATCCTCTCTTTCATCGTTCATCATTTCAATTCTTGCTTAATAGGCCAAACATGCTTATTTGACATCATTTTCACTGTACACAGAATATCCGGAATGCGACTCTGGATCCAGTGCTATCTCCACTCACCAGCGATCGCACGCTCGCAGAGCTGCTGCAGCGTCTTCGCAGCCCACTCAAAGTCATCCATCGTCAAGTAGATCTGGCCGCTGACTCTGCACCAGAACTCCCCAGCATAGAACTTGATCGGAATATAAGTCTCATACTCGGCCGGCGTGCGCTCTTGCATCCACTTGGCGACTTTTGAGCCGCCATCTGTATCGATCGCGAGATCCGTTAGTGTCAGGGGCAGCCCAACGTTGACGAAACAGCAGCGTCGGAATGAGCTTGATGGATCTCCAAGGCATGTCGTGCCCAGCAATTGAGCCATTCTCTCGCCGCCCCGATTTGCCAGGTCCTCACAGTACTTGCGGATGTTGGCTTCGCCACCGCAAACACGAGCCCTAAACTTGAGTGCCAATGGGACACAGCAATAGGGTGTGTTGTCTGTCGTTGAGACCTTGCTGAACAGACGAGAGAAGTACTCCTGCGGGTTCAGCTTCGCTCTCTCCTCTTCTGTCTCGTATCCCCAAGACGTCGGCATACTGGTTGTAATCAACCCTTGGTTCCGAAAGGGCACGTAGAGAATCGCACAGCCTCTCGGAACCATCAGCCATCTGTAGCGGGAGTCAGAGTTGCCAAATCTGCGATCAATCGAGGCACAAGACTCACTTGTAGCAGTTGCTGACCATGAAATCTGGTCCGACGCTGCCGAGATGGGCCAGATCGATGTGGCCGACCCCGTGAGCGCCGTCGATGAAGCTTAGGACACCGAGTTCTCTGCATACCTCCACTAATGCCTCCCATGGGAACCGAGCCCCGGGGAACGTCAGAACGGTATCAAACATGGCGATCTTAGCTTGCTTGCCATGAGCTTGAATTGCCGAGACAGCGTTGCGGAAGCCCTTGATGATCTCTTCATCTTCTATCGGATATGCTATCTCAATCGAGTACTTTGCGATGGGGAAAACTTCTGAGAGAGACTGAATTGTTTTCTCACAAGCGCCGTATATGGTACCGAAATGCAGAATCACATCGCCCTCATCGAACGTCAAGTTCCGAAGGACAGTGTTAACGCCCGTTGTTGCGTTGGGGATAAAGACAACCTCCCCGGGATCCACACCGAGAAGCGGTGCGATTGCTGTCCGGCTTTCTTGTAGGAGCTCCAGGTAGGTATATCGTATGAAGGTATCGGGTCGTGCCTCACATTCCAATTGGAGTTGCTGCTGGTACTTGTGCACCACTTTAGGAAAAGTCCCAAATGAGCCATGGTTCAGTGGATGGTAATTCCCAGCGAATGAGAAATAATTGGTGCGCATCTGGATGCCAAAGGTTGACTCCTTCTGCAGAGACTGCTCATCGTCCATGGTGCCGACCTGTAACACGCACAACGTTGAGATTGATGGCCGAGGCGAGATTTTACTAAAGCGAACATTTGCGAATACAAAATGAGGGGAAAGCCCACAAGCCAAAGGTGGGAAACCGCGAGCCAGAACCATGTGCTTGCAGATGCAGGTATCATCACATGACGTCTGTTGGCACACGCGCAAGGAACGGGCCTCAAGGGTGCGTCTGCAGCGCTTAATCACCAACATACACACCCATCAATCTAGTCAGGCGCCGCGAGATTGCTCAGCCTCGTTCCTGGTATCATCCCATGATAACCCCTCAATTACCTCATTGCCTGACGATCTGATATGTTTGTCCTCCAATTTTGCGGGCAATGATCCTTGATACACAACTAGGATGGACCCATTGTCGATAACAGCAGGCATTATCGCCGTGTCGACACTCATCGCACAGGTTACCGATATACTGGTCAGACTGCGTGAGGAACTGGAGTCACTTCCAGGTCACATCCATGGCTTGAACAATGAGGTGCAGGACATCAAGGTCGTGCTGCAACAGGTTGCCATTGCGGTAGAGGAAAGAAGAATCTCGGGATGGAAAAGTCATGGAGAGTCAACGCTGCCGATCCTGCTGACAAAAGGTGAAAATATTCTGAGAGAACTGAAGATAATCCTTGAGAGGAATATCGCATCAGGTACAAAGAAGAGAGATGCCGTATCACGCTTGTTGATGTGGAGGAAAGACTATGCGCGAGTCGCCATATTGCAGGGCGAAATCAAAGGCGTCAAGTCAAGTCTGAACATTCTTTTAGGAGCTTCCAACTCGTACGTCCCCTTCGCTTGTCCACTACTACTATTGTTGTTCCAGAATTACTCTTCTCACCAGCTTGCCAGACGAGACATGATGTTTGTTCGTCTACATCTTGAGGAATTAAACATCAAACTATCCCAGTCTAAGGAGCCAGAGATGCCAATAGACGAAACGACTAGCAGCGTTATACAGACTTTGCTCGAACAACATCAGGAAAGCATATCAAAGTCACTGCGTTCAAAGTATACCGAGGTTGACGAACGGCTTGGAAGAGTCGAGGCTATGCTGCAGGCCCAGGCCTCTTACGTCCAGGCTTCTCAAATTTCGCAGGTCGGCCCTCTCTATAGCCAGTCGGCTCCATTGGCACGCAGACGTCCGGTCAGAGCTGTTAGTCCGGTCTCGGCTGCACGCATCGATGCCAACTCGTCATCAGTGAGAGTGCATCTAAGGCAGGTTCGCTCAGCATGTCAGGGAACCTGCTCTTGCTCTTGCCACTCTGCACAGAAGAAAAAGACGCCATCATTCATGGACCGCATGCTTGGGCAACTTTTTGTAGGCTACAGCGGGTTACCACTTATCAGTGCCAAATGCGATACACCAAGCTGCGTCAAGGCTCAAGTTCCATCAGTTACCGCCGAGTATTGGTTCCCGCTTGGGTTCTGCTGGTCTCAAATTATCCGCCTCCAAATGATGTACGAGATCAACGTTGGCCCTTCTCTACAGCTCAGCACCCTACGACGAGTCGCGGATTCCTCGCCATGTGTCACATTTGCTCTAGACGGGAATATAGATGGGCTAAAGGGTCTTTTCCGTCAAGGCTTGGCTTCGCCGCGAGACGTTAGCTCTACAAGAGGCTACTCTCTCCTTCGGGTAAGGAAACGTAATCCAATGCTCGGCGGAAGCAAACTAGCTGATGACCTCCATAGTGGGCACTGTATGGACAACAGTACGAAACTTGCAAATTTCTCATGGCAGCAGGGGCAGATCCTACCTACAGGTACCGTACACACGCAGCCTAGGTGACGGGAGATGCTGATTTAGATTCATCTCAGACCAATTGCTCAAAGCGACGATTGCCCTAGTGACAAGGCAGGGGACATCATCCTTAGGGGTCGAATTCCACAAGAAGTGGTCGAGATCCTCCGGCTCATATCAGAACTTGATGATTACGTTGAGCGCCAAGGTTTTGCCCGTATCCACAAAATTGTGCTCAATCTTTGTGGGGGGGACCTGGAGGAAGAGATACGCTGCGATCCCCGGAAAGTGGACAGTCAAGATGCTACGGGACGTTCAGCACTGCAGTGGGCCGCGGCCAGAGGCGACGATCGAGCTGTCATCACTTTGCTAAGTTGGGGCGCCGACCCCAACAACATGGACATAAAACTCAATACGCCATTAACACTCGCTGCCAACCAAAACCAGACCACTTGTGTCCGTCTTCTCCTTGAGGCGGGTGCACTGACGGACCCCGAGTTACCCCCTGGAATCAAGTTCGGTACGCCGCTCAACTGTGCGGCTCGCAATGCCCCGGATCCCATTTTAATGAAGACACTGCTTGACTTTGGTGCTGAAATCGAAGCGAGCGGTGTGGACGGCGTCACTCCACTCCTACATGTTGCAAGGGGTAGCAGTGCTGCGCACGCAGTGCTTCTTCTCGAGTATGGCGCAAACATAAATGCCACTTCGAAAAGCGGGCAGACTCCGCTTACCGCAGCGATCCAATACAACAACCATGGTGCACTCAGCCTTCTACTCGAGCGCTGGTCCGAATACGTCGAGTGTCCCAGGCTCAAAGGACCTGGCCTCCTGGAAGTCGTAGCCCAGTACGCTGATGTACGGACAATACGACTTCTTACGAAAGCGGACCATCTTCAAACACGCACTGATAGTTCGTTTATTTTGAATCGATACCAGCAGATGCTGGATGCTAGGAATGATGCATCTGAGAAGCTGTCTTCTGCGTTCGAAGACCTGTTGTCGATCCTCCAAATAGATGCTAAACCGGGCGATGCCAATATCCGAAGGGAAAGCGGTCTTCTGAACCCACTTGATTTCTTGTCAGGCTCTGAGGAGAACACGGACACGGACTCGGATTGTCTCGTCTTCGAAGATGCCAAAGAGGACGTAGATTCCCCTGGCGATGCTTCTGACCTTGTGTAATTCTACTGAAACGGCAAGACCTCGACTATGAATATTATGTGCTCCATATTCTTTTTGTAGAACATGGTAAAGGGGAACTCATATCTCTATTTAGTACATCTCACTGGATCTGAGATTATGATCTCGTCTCCGACAGCCATGATCAGAAATTTCCGCCTCGTGTCCAGTCGCACGCAATCTCTTGATTTTACACTACATAAAAATGAACAATTCTTTCAGCTCCAGACTCATTTCGCATCATGGTGCCTGTTGTTGGACATTGGTCAAGCGCACAGGGCTCTGGCATTCTTATGTGGCCGGGTTGAGGCAGTTGGCAAGCTGTGCTTCATAAACAGTTGCTGAAAGCTGTCGCAGGGCTAAGACGATGTTCTTGTTGACCTGCGAAATCAAACGGTGCGGAAAATGAAAGTCGGAGACCGCCCATATGATAGGCAAAATTAGACTAGGCCGGATTCTCTCTCTTTCACAACCTACTCCGGCTGTACAGGTAACTAGGTCTCTATCATTCAATTAACTACGCCTTCTGTCTAGGCTGTTTCGTCCGTTGTCACTATCTCGCGATAGTTTTGGGGCGTCTGAGCCACAAGGCAGACGCTCTCCTCCTCGACCGGCTTCTCAACGCCAACGAAATGCCCATTCATCCTTCGCTGGTTGGCGTACCGTGCATTTTCTGTGGCGTGGCGCACGGTTAGCTACACAGGGTTCAAGAGCAAGCAAACCTTCCAGGGCAACGATCGACCGAGGACGCGACTCACTGTACGTGACCATGATGGCCTCTTCGAACACGGGCAGCCACGTCGCCAAGGCTAGGATCTGTCCGAACCCCCATCTTTCCTCTGACTTGGCCTCCCCTCCATCGTTGAGCTTGGATATCTCAGACTTGAGCTTGAACAAGCTGCCCAGGGAGGCCCACATGAAGACGAAAAAGTATAGAGCATACGCCAGCCTCCACGGAATCCTGAAGAACAGCCAACCCAGAACAGGAACGCTCTCTTTCGGCCTCTTCGTCCAGCGGGCAATGGCCGCATTCAGACCAGCCAACAGAAACACGCACAAAGGAACCATGGAGAGAGCTATGATCGTCACCGTCGCGGCCTCGTCAGATACTTGCTTGTCCCAACAGAAGGCCTCAAAGGAGAAGGGCTCATCGTCCTTGACCTTCTTGGCTTCCTGCGCAGCCGTTGGCTTCATTGACATGGAGATGACGAAAAGTAACCAGTTTACGAAGCCGAAGAAGACCCCTGAGCCGTATCGTTGCTCGATGTCCAGGTAGGCTGGCAGTGTGAGGAAGAACATGGCGGTCAGGGTCGCCGAACAGAGGAACGACGTCTCAATGTCGTAGACGCTCTCTTTCTGTCCGGCTATGATGAGCGTAGCCACCAACACCGAAGCCGTCAGAAGACCAAGTCCGGAATGAAAGGCCCCGAAGCTGTGATAGAACATGTTCCGGATCGCGTCCAGGATGCCATTTTGAGGAGGGAGCTGGGGAGCTTTGAAACTTTGATAGTTGTTGTCCCTCAGCATACCGTGGATGAAGGTGATGAGATACATCGTTGAGAGTATAGCTCCCATGGCGTATACTACCATCATCTGGCGAGATTACCCAGTCAGAGCTCCTCGACTCACAGTGAGGGCGAGCGTACATACCCCAACACCAACAATGTCAGCATTCCCGTCCCACTCCCAGACAGCACAGATCTGCTTATCGCACTCCCGCTGTGGTTGGTAAATCAACTTTTCGTTCAACAGGGCATTATCGCAATCCCGAGCGCAGAAGAACCAGTTGAAGGCTTGCCAGTCCGGAACCTCCGAGCCACCGAATGAACGGAGGTAGCCAAGTAGAGAGTCCATGTCTGGAGACTTGTTGCCGAGCAGGGTGACAAGGACGCGGGCCGCAGCCTCGCAGTCTTTGGACGGTTCGTAGAACTCAAGGTTCGACTCGAGGCAATAATCGCAGATAATGCTCGTAGGACTAGACATTGAGGGCGCCGTCGTAGTCATGTTGCTTGCTATTGTCGCGCCCCTCGGGGCCTTGCGGTTGGGTTTTAAGAGAGCCAAAGGCAAACAGGGGTCAGGGCAACGATTGGATACCTGTTCGCAGGAGAGCAGTGTTTGCCTTGCTTTTATTTCATGTTGCGACAGTCGTATAAGTCTCTGCTCTGCGCACATGCGAACTGAGCCATTTGTACCTCGATCCACGGTGGTCGGCACCGCTTCCTACCCAGCCCGAAAGGCTGAGGCTGAATGCCGCCGGCGTGCTCTATGCTTGGCGCCACGAAATAGCCACCAGTACAGCTTCAAGCAGGGTCACGTTTGATGCCTCGTATACCTAGTCAACTACGCCTGCGGAGTTCGCCAGTGGACGCCATGTGCGGCAAGACCAGGGGCCCTGATGCTACAAGAGTCAGGTTGGGGGGCGGGCGCTGAACGCCGCGTCTTGGCAGCTGAGGACCCTGAATGACACGGCACACTGGTGATGCAAGCCATCATCACCGCGCTTTCCTCAAACGAGGTGTGACAGCATCCAGTCGTGGGTTTGCTCTGCTTGCGCGAGCGTAGAGCAGCCTTGCGGGCGGGTCGTATCCGTGTGTCGAGATCCTGCTATACCTGTCTTCGAGCTGGTCTTGTAAGTATAAGATTACTACTGACTTGATTTATGTTGTAAGCTGCGATCCGCCTATTCGACGATTGATGTTTGGTGTCAAATACTGGTAAACGGATCCGAACGAGCCCACGCCTCCTCGGCTACTGGATGTCCCACCCTATAGCTGGAGGCTGCCCCCGACGTGTCTCTGGCTTCAATACAACTGCGGCACGATAGGATCGGAGAGATTGAAACAAGGAGGCCCTCGCACATCAAGGCTCCATGCAGCCATGGTATACTGGATATGTATGCAGCGCTGATAATGAGTCATCAGAGATCTCGTAGTTACAATAGCACCAGACACTGGCGTATTCCCGTCACGACCGCAGCTCCACCACCAGTCCTTCATCCAGCCATATTCTTCCGCCAAAACACTGCTCTTCCCGGAGCAAGGGGGTATTTGCAAGTTGACAAATCGTCAAATCAAGATTTCCATGCGCCAGGTTTTGATGCCACTCCCCCACAACACCATGGTGTAAAATAATAGTCTAACAATTCACTCGAACGCTCGCGCGGCGCGACTGGCGTTCTCCTGCGCCGCAGCCTGCGCCGCCCGTGCTTCGGCAAGCTGCCCCTGCACTTCGTACGAGTTGGCGAGCATGCCGTCCGCCACGCTCATCCAGAGGAGGTTGCCGCTGCGCTTAGCCTGCTGCGAGGCTGCCTTGGCGCTCTTCAACGCTTGCTCACCCACCACGTTCTCGAAGAGACGACAACGCATGATCGTCAACGCTATTGCGAGGCAGTGAGTGTTGTTCGTCCTTTGCGCTCCGTTAAGCGCGGATTGGATGTTCTTTTTCACAATGTTCATCTCCAGGTCTGGCTGAGTCGTGACCTGGACGAGACTGAAGGCAGTGCGGAACTCCGAGTCGGGATGTGTTGTGCATAGCGGTTGTATGCTTTCCAAGAGTTTATTTGTGGTCTGCTCATCTTGGAACCCCGGGTCTTGGAGGATCCATAGCCGACTCATCGCAGCCAGTATGCAGACTTCTAGCTCTGCTGGCTTTCTACTCTCAGGACCATCCGGTCCAGAGGGGATCTGCAACCGCGGATCCTCATAGATGGTGAGTGCTGTCTCGAACTCGCCGGTGCCTTGATAATAGACACCTGTCAGATATAGTGTGAAGAGTGTAAAAATCTCATTGACCGCAGGCGTGGCCGCTTTCTGGAGTTTAGAGACACTTTGGTCTACGAGCTTCCATTTGCTCTGAGTTGCATTGTACAGACCAATCAGCAGCTGCAAGTAACAGAAGATCTCTGTTCGCCACTTGGTCTGTCTGATGGATTCATGCAGCGAAACGGTCGCCAAGGCGCGGTTTCCCAACATGTGTTGCGTAGAAACTAGCAAGGTCAGAACTAACATCTTGGCTGGCAGTATACGGTTGACATACCATGTTGCACGGTCTCCAGCCCGGCCGCCCATCGCTGGAGGCTCTTCATCTTGCCTACTTGCTCTCGCGATGCGGGCCTATACATGTTCGCAAGCCCCCCAAAAGCGTGGCTGTGTCTCGTTAGCTTTAGCCATCAATGTGTAAAATGGCTGAGTCCTTACACCAATGCGAAAAGTTCTTGTTTCGACAGGAACGATAGAACCACCAGATCAGTTCCCTCGTCATCTTTCCCGGGACGGAGAATCGCAGTTGTGTCCTCACTGATGATGAGGGAAGATGAGGGCTGCTTCTTCATAGGAACACAGACCTCTGTGGCGTCATCTGTCCAGTCCTGAGAGCTGATCGTTTCATCTAACCTTGACTCTAGTGCGGACAATTTCTGCACCAGAGTGTCTGGATTCTTCTGATGCATACTGCAAGCGAGGTCCAGCAGCAGTGTCAAGATATCGAGTTGGGGTACCTTGACAGTAGGATCCAACTGATACATGGCTGCTTGCGCAAGACATGTCTGAACCCTTTCGACACTGTCAGACTTCATGACGCGCAGATGAGCGAGGCCCTCGAGTAATGAGGCCAACACTCCAATAGCGTTGTCACCCCTCTCGTAAGCGAAGTTTCCCAGCATTTGAAGGTTGTCGAAATGGTTGGCATCGGGCGCGTTGCCGGCATACGTTTGCAACGTCGTCTTGAGAAGTCGAAAAGCATACAACCAGGGGTAGTGCTTGAATCTACAAGGTCTTAGCAATGTACCAGAACCTACGATCCGATTGGGACTTACGTTTGACACTCTGCAATCTGCTTGTCAATGGCAATAAAGGCTGCCTTGTGGTTCCTCTGGAACAGGACTTTCAACGCAGCATACTGCATACAGTATTTCAGATCTGTATAACGATGCTGTTGAAGTGTCAATATCGACTCGCTGGGCCATCAAATTTCGAATACGAACCTTCTCACAGAGCTTTATTCCTTGGAACAAAGTGGTTTCTGCCTCCTGCAGATTTTCCGTCTCCTCGTACAATATTGATGCATATCTGAGTCTCGCCTTCGCTTCTTGGCGTGGCGCAAGTTTATTCGTCTGCACAGCGGCGTCCAAGCAGGCTAAGCCTGTGGAGATGAGTTTCTGATACTCTCGCAATCGGCCCTCATCTGGTGAAGCGGCAACACTATGAACAGCGGAATATGCTTTGCTCAAACACTCTTCGGCGACATGAACCAGTACGGTCGCAGACTCGAACGGCCTTATCTTCGGAGTCATAGCTGGGGAAGCGCGGGCCGAGGAAGCAGGGGACGGGCGTGGTGGGATCGCTGGAGACCTCTTGCTGATGCCGGGCGAGTTCATTGCCGAAACTGACGGCCGTTTCGTTGGGAGGGGTGATTTGGCAAAGGCCGGACTGGGGCTCTGTTGAACTCGGTGAGACTCGTTGGCAAGCGACGCCGGTGCTGGACGTTGCAGCGACACATGGCTTTGTTGGGCGGTAATGGGCATGATATCCTGCTGTCCCATTATTCTTGAGCCGGTTTGAGGAACCTGAAACTGTGGGATCTGTTGGGGAACCGGCGCTGGCGATGGTGACGAGTAGGCTCGAGGCGGAGTAGGAGTAATCGCTTGGAGTTGCGCAGGAGCAACCTGGTAGGGTTGGGCGGCGGGGTATGGCGAAGGTGCCGGGGATATGGAAGGAGGGCGCTGTTCTTGTCGTGGGTCGAAGGTATTGTCGAATGTCGAAAATTGGCCGTTGTTATTTGCCAGAACGTTGACATAGTTCATCGACGGCGCGGGTGTAGAGAGGTGGGCATAGTGGCCTTGGGGCATTTGTCCCTGATGCTGATAGCCCTGGAACTGCTGCTGCTGCTGTGGCTGCTGATGGTGCTGCTGATGGTGCTGAGGCCGCTGGTGGTGCTGAGGCTGTTGCTGTGTATATTGTTGGTACTGCTGGTACTGTGGCACCTGCAGCCCATGTTGCTGCTGTTGAACGTGGCCATGCAGTGGTGGCGCTTGTTGTTGGTGTTGCTGCACATATGCCTGTTGCGGGGCCTGTTGCTGGCCGTTCGGATACTGATACTGCTGGCTGCTGTAACCGGGTTGCCCCGTGGGCATTTGGCCCGGGTACGACATTTTGGGCAGGTCATAAGAACCGTCGGGATGCCAAATTTCAGATGTCAATGCCTGGGGCAGGCTCCGGCTGGATGAGGTTGGTTCCTGGTGTCGAGAGTTCGGTCAGGCGTCGGCGCCCATCTGGATGAGACCCTGTCGATCATGGATCATCGAGCTGTTGCGCTGCTAAATGCTCGATCGCGCCGCCGGTGGAGAAGGGGACAGTGAACGCGCACACCTTGAGGATGAATATCAGGCGACCCCGAGGTTTGACATGGCACCTGCATCGACAGGATCCCCTTGGCTTGGTGCGCAGACACCATCGAAGCGCGTCGTGTCCGTGACCCGTCGTCCCATTCCCTTGGGTGCCTTATGTAATCCATCCTTCCGTCTCGACACCGCCACACCAACGACGAACCCAAAATAGATCAATGTGGCTGGTGTGTCAAATGGTTCGTCATCTACACCTGAATCAAGCCGCGATTCCGTGCCTCGGTTCGTCGACGCCCCACTACAATCTTGAATTCGACACTGAATCTCTCTTTCTGGTGACCCTGACTGCCAGATCTCGAGGACAGCCACTGAGACACTAAGGTGCAGAAGCATCAAACGGTCGTTCTAGGTTCACATGTTGATATACCTCTCACAGTCTCTGGATCAGGTAGGGGGGCAATCACTTCGTTACACATTTCCCGCTTCCACGCTGCCTATACTTTCGTCAAGGTTCATATGCTGCTGCCAGCCACTTGCCTCTTGACCCGATTCAGTATCCAAGGTCGACATCCCAGCGCGCCATCCGATCCACACCACTCTAGATCCTTGTTCTCAGATCCGCAACACATATCTTAAAGTGTCCAACCCACCGTCGGCACCCCAC